TGAGTCTGGGATTAGGGAAACCCCCAAAACTAGAGGGCTCATCCCAGACATCAAACATGCCTACAGCAGTGCCTATTCCCCCCTGCCAGGTGGAACATGGTCCTGATTCAGGACATCGGGGAGACCACTCAGGGGGCATTGCCTCCGTTGTGGGTAAAATGAGCCCCAGTGGTTCAGTCCTACCTGACAAAGCTGATAGCAAATTCTAAAAGAATGAGCCACTCCCAAGAATTTTTAGGATTTTCTACATTTAATAGGATAGCATCTGTGAACACAGATTATTTTACTTCTTTCCCATTTACATGCCTTTTATTCCTTTCCCTGTCTATCTGCTTCCCCAGAGTTTCCGTCCTATGGAGAATGGAGGTGGCACAAGTGGGCATCCTTATCTTGTTTCTGATCTTAGAGGAAAAGCTTTCAGTCTTTCAAAATTGAGTGGGATGTTTGCTGTAGGTTTTTCATACACATTCATTTTTTATTCATATATATTTATATATATGCTGTTTCATTCCAGTTCTAGTTTGTTGAGTATTTTTACATACAACTATCATATGTAGAACCATCCTTGCATTTCAGCAATAGATCTCTCTTGGCTGAGGTGTATAAATCTCCTTAATCTGCTGCTGAATTTGATTTGTTAGTAATTTGTTTAGTGTTTTTACATCAATGTTCATAGGGGCTATTGACCTGTAGCTTTCTTTTCTTGTAGTGTCTTTGTCTGGCTCTGGTATCAGTAATACTGGCTTCAGAGATTGAGTTAGGGAAGGTTCCCTCTGAAGTTTACAGTGATCTAGGAATGAACAAAAAATACTTAACTTGCCCTGACTGGTTTGGCTCATTGGATAGAGCATCAGCCTGCGGACTGAAAGGTCCCAGGTTCGATTCCGGTCCAGGACATGTACCTTGGTTGTGGGCACATCCATAGTAGTAGATGTGCAGGAGGCAGCTGATCAATGTTTCTCTCTCATCGTTGTTTCTAACTATCTCTCTCTTTCTCTCTGTAACACAGATGTCCCCTCCCATCACACTATTCAGCCTCATACTGAGGGTCTGAGCCAGAACAACAGGACAAGAGAAAGAAGTAAAGGGCAGGCATATTGGAAATGCAGAAATGAAATGGTCTCTATTCACAGAGGACATGATTGTCCACATAGAACACCCCCAGGAATCTACACAAGGTCTCCTGGAAATATAACAGTTTGGCAAGGATGAAGAATACAAACTTAAAATAATAAAAATTAATTGTCATTCTATACGGAGGTGGGCAAAAGTAGATTTACAGTTATGAGTGAACGAAACAGAGCTTATTCTTATGTTATCGTTTGTTTTTTAATAATTGTATTATTGATTTGTATTACTTGTCTCATTATTATTGTTATTGTTTTGCAGGAATCTACACAAGGTCTCCTGGAAATATAAGAGTTTGGCAAGGATGAAGAATGCAAACTTAAAATAATAAAAATTAATTGTCGTTCTACACGGAGGTGGGCAAAAGGAGATTTACAGTTATGAATGAACGAAACAGATTATTCTTATGTTATTGTTTGTTTTTTAATAATTGTATTATTGATTTGTATTACTTGTCTCATTATTATTGTTATTGTTTTGTATCCTTACCTATGATTTTTGTTTTAGCTAATGATGACTGGTAATTTAACCTACTTTTGCCACCTCCATACAATATTAATAAACAATTAGATTTCTAACTTTTTGTTTAAAATTATGACTTACAACAAAATAAAAAATGAAAAATAGCATAAATGTAACATAATGAAAACTATAAAAACACTGATGAAATGAACGGAAGAAGACATGAATAAATGGAAAATTAGAGCATCTTCACGGTGGAGACATTGTGATGTCAGTTACCTTCACACTGATCTGTAGATTCAAGGCAACCCCAATAAAAATAGCAGCAGAATTATTTTTTGTTATCAATAAGCTGAATGTAAAGTATTTGGAGAGGAAAAGGAGCTCAAATAGCCAACGCTATTGTCATTCTTGCTGTTGGAGACCCTCTCCCGTCTACCTTCCCCTTTCCTGCGTTCCTCTGCAGCTGGTGCCCCCTCCTCAGCCGCCTGTGTGAGGGGATATCCAGCAGCAATGAGCAGCAGGGAGAACAGCTGTCAGGGAGAACAGCTGTCAGGGAGAACAGCTGGCAGCAGAGCCCCAATGTCAGCCCCTGCTGCCCTGCCTCTGACTCTAGGATTCAAACGGTCCCTTGCAACGTCAGGGAGAACAGCTGGTAGTGGAGCACGGCAGGGCAGGGGGGACTGCCAGGGCTCCCCCCTCCAGATGTTTCCGGGGTGTTTGCTGGGGAAACACACACAGGGCAGGGGGGCTGCCGGGCTCCCCCCTCCAGATGTTTCCAGGGGTGTTTGCTGGGAAAACACACACAGGGCAGGGCCACCCCCTCTCCAACAACACAGGCTTTTCACAAGCCGCAGCCTCTTTCCTGGAAATAAACCAGAGGAAGTACGGCGTCCAGGACTCAGCTCAAAATACCAACAAGGAAACGGGGCGTGGGGAGCCTCCTGCTTGGAAAACAAACACCCAGGAGGGTATAAAAGCCAGCATCCCTGGGCATCTTACACACTCACACTCACTCAAACACTCACACACTCACACACTCACAGCCTCCTCCAGCCCCACTGCCCCACCATGGCCGCTTCCAATCGTCCTGCCTGTCCCTGCTCTGCCGCCTATGGCAGCCGGGCCTGCCTGCCCGGGGCCTATGACTCTTGCACCGACTCCTCCTGGCAGGTGGACGACTGTCCAGAGAGCTGCTGTGAGCCCTCCTGCTGCGCCCCCAGCTGCTGCCAGTCCACCTGCTGTGTCCCTAGCTGCTGTGTCCCCAGCTGCTGCCAGCCTTCCTGCTGCACCCCCAGCTGTTGTACCCTGACCCTTGTCTGTGCCCCAGTGAGCTGTGTGTCCAGCCCCTGCTGCCAGGTGACCTGTGGGTCCAGCCCCTGCCAGTCAACCTGCACCAGCTCTTGCACGCCCTCATGCTGCCAGCCCTCCTGCTGCACCTCCTCCCCGTGCCAGCCGGCCTGCTGTACACCCGCCTGCTGCACACCTGTCTGCTGCAAGCCCCTGTGCTGTGTGCCCGTCTGCTCTGGGGCCTCCTTCTGCTGCCAGCCCACCCCCTGCACCTCCTCCTGCTGCAGACCCTCCTCCTGCGTGTCCCTGCTCTGCCGCCGCGTGTGCTCCCGCCTGGCCTGCTGCGTCCCCACCTTGGCCCAGACGTCCTGCTGCTGAGCAGGCATGTCCCGCAGGCCCACCCGGCCCAGACGTCCTGCTGCTGAGCAGGCATGTCCCCCAGGCTTACCCTGTGACGGTGGTTCTCCCAGCCACACCTCAGTCAGGTCCTGACCTGTGTTAGATGGCTGTCCCTACTCAGGATGGGGTCCCCCAGTCTCCCCTGTCCTGAGCTGACCTCTGCTCCCAGGAGCCCTGAACCTCAGGGCTCTTGCCTCCCAGGATGAGCCCCCACCTGCCTCTGGGTCACCTGCCCTTCCCTTCCAATTTCTCTGTCCATCCCTTGACCTCCACTCTCACCCTGTCAGCACCTCCTCGTGCACCCCAATAAACTCCCTTCATCACCTGAGCGCCTCCTTCCTCTAATTTCATTGCCGCGGTGGCGGTGGGCGAGAAACAGGGTTCTCACCAGGCCCTGGTCTCCTCCAGCCACGAGTATTTCTAGGACCGAGTGGCCGAGCGATCACAGCGCCTAAGTCCTCGGGCGGGGCACTGGGTGGGACTCTCACCCCGACCCAGGAAGGTCCGTGAAGGAGTGGCCAGAAGCCTTGGGACCCAGTCTGAGCCAAGTGGATTTTGCTGATTAGGCATTAAATTAACTATGAGGAATGTGCAGGCTTTGAACTTCTTTAGAATAATAGTTGCCTGGAATTTGGGTCGCAGTGTGGCATGGGCAAAGGCTGTGAAAAATGACACTGTAATTATCATCCAGGTTTCATCACTTTCAATTCTCTACTCTTTCAACTGTGTTAGGCCAGGCATGTATAGACTCTACATTGCAATCGCTTATAGGCGAGTACACATTTCCCTGCGCAGTTCGAGTGGCTGGGGTGGCTGGGGCTTGGGGGCCACCTTGTGTTTGAAATCACCGTTGTGGAGGGGGGTGGGTTTAAATGGTGGTAAAGCACACTGCACCTGAAGCTCACCGTGTTGATCACCTTTATGAGTTCGGCTCAAGGGCACGAAGCAGTCACAGGTGGTTGTTGTTGCGCAGCCATAACCACCCTCCATCTCAGAACTTTCTCATCTTCCCGGGATGACTCTGTTCCCATTAAACATCGGCTCCTTTCCCGGCCCCCGGCCCTGGCACCCACCTCTGCGCTCGGTGTCTGTGGATGCCACGGCTCCCGGGTCCCCGAGTTAGTGAAACCCTAAGCCTTTGTCCTTTGGTGACTGCTTGTTTCACTCAGCGCAATGTCCTCGGGGCTCATCACGTCGAGGTCGGACCTTCCTTTTTAAGGCTGAAGACGCTCCATTTGGTGGCTGGGCCGCATTATGTATGCTCCTCCCTTCATCGTGGGCAGCTGGGTTGCCTCTACGTGCATAATGCCCTTCTCAGTAACGCTGCAGGGAGCACAGGTGTCCACGTGTCTCTCTGAGACCCAGCTGGCCGTCCATTTGGATTTACAGCAGATGGAATTGCGGGATCATACGGTAGTTCCATTTGTAATTTGTGGAGGAAGCGCCATACTGTTTTTTATAGGGGCTGCAGCATTTTGCCTTCCCACCCATGATGCACAAGGCTCACATTTGTCCAAGTCCTCACCCACACGCTGCTTCCTGTGTTGCTGATCCCGGCATGGTCATGGGTGTGAGCAGTGCTCCTGGCTTCATCACACACACACAGGGTTGTGACAGCAGGCCCTGCACCGTGAGCCCTGCCCTTCCCTGCCCACCTTCACCTCCCACCCTCACCGCCCGCCCGCACCTGCCCGCACTCACCGGCCCGCCCTCTCTTGCAGAAGAATGAGTACCTGTTCACGGTGGTGGCCGAGGGGCCGGACGCACTGCTGCTGGGCCTGCGGTACTCACCCACCCGGCTGCACTTCCTCTTCCTCAGCCAGGACGCGGCGGGCGCCTGGCAGACCCGAGTGTCCTTCCACAGCCCCGCCCTGATGGACAGCCAGTGGCACACGCTGGTCTTGGCTGTGTCTGAAGACTCCTTCTCCCTCACCACGGACTGCGGCGTCCCCGTGGACATGTAGGTACCGGGATGTGGGGAGGGTCGCATGGTGCGGTGTGCTGCCTGACCTAGAGTCCAGAGTGGACATCCAGGGGCAGCGTGAGTTTGCAGGGCGGGCCGGAGGGGTCAGGCTTGTGGAGGAGCCCTTGTGGCAGAAGTGCCTGGGTCACCAGCATGTGGACAGCGCATCTGCCTCCAGCGAGGGCATGGTGTGGGGGACAAGGGCAGGCATCAGTCTGAGAGTGGAGGGCGGTGGGGGGTGTCGGGGAGCTGACGCCTGGCCCTGGGCTGGGGCTGAAGTGTGAGTCCAGGCTGAGCTTGCCCAGGGGATATGCCCTGCAGGGTGCTGTTACCATGACGAAAGGGCCACAGAGGATCATAGGAACTTGGGTACCACAGCCAAGTGGAAGCTGTGCCCCAGCCTGAGGCCCAGGTCTTGCTGTGTGATTTTCAACATGTCATCTAACCTCTCTGACTCCGTTTCCTCATCTGAAATAAGGGGATAAATATTCATTAAAACTCCAGATAAACATGCCGAGGAGTCCTGAGTAACTTTGACACAGCCCCGGGCACGGGGAAGCCCGAGTTCGTGTCTTGTCCTTGCCAGCGCCTCGTTTTGGACCAGGGACAGTGAGTTCCTGCGGCCTGGCCAGCTGCTGGCCCACGGGCGTCCACAACATCCTTGCTGAGTGGGGCTGGAGACATTTGCATGTCGAGCGGTCCAGCTAACTTTAAATCTATCCTTATACCAAATAGCACTTTCAAAGGTAGAATCTTTCTCTGCTTTTTTATTACAAAACTTATTCCGTAATAAAAAGAATCCATAACATTTATACACTTGGTTTAAACATGTCTTAGTCACCACCCCTCCTCACCACACTCTCATCAGAGCCTTTATAGGGTGAGAGCCATCAGCTGACAGCTCCATGCGGGGAGGGTGCTGGGGCGGGGAACTGGGGCTGGAGCCATGGTGGCCATGGAGGATTTCAGGCCCCAGGCTTCACAGACCTTTCAGGCACCGTGGAGGGCACAGGCCAGAACTCAGGTGACCTGGGAATTGCGTGGACACTGGGCTGATCTCACCACGGCCAGCCGCAGCCAGACGGCAAGGACTGGAAGGAGCAGAGGACCTGACATCAGGCCCGGGAGACGCTGGGCAGTGAGGAGAGAGGCCGTGCCTGGCTTTCCGGCCCCGGGAGCTCCAGCCACACAGTCCTCTCCATGGGGCACCCACCTTCTCACCTTTCCCCAGAGTGTGGCCTCCCTGCCCCCTTGCACATCAAGACCCAACTCCGGCCACACTTTCCAACACCTTCAAGTCACCAGAGAGGGAACTCCATTCTGCCCTGACACCTCTGTCCCCCACCCCCAGGGCTCAGTGGAAGGTGAACGGGCTGGAAACCCCATGCCCGTAGGAGCCATTGGATGTTCCGTGAAATGGCGAGGAACTCCTGGCAGCACACGCTCTTGCAGAAGATCCTCGTCCTGGGGCGAAGGAGGGCGCCCTAATTCGTGTCCCATCGGGCCTGGGACCTTGTTTAGAGACAACACCTTTGCAGGTGTGAGCCAGCTCAGTTGAGGTTTCCCTGGAGAGGGTGGGTCCTGACCCAGTGACCAGTGTCCTCATAAGAAGAGAAGAGGCCCAGGGGAGCAGCCATGTGATGGTGAGCACAGAGAGTGAGTGATGCAGCCACAGCCAGGAGCCCCCAGGAGCAGGAAGAGGCAGGAAGGACCCCCCTGGAGCCTTCTGCAGGAGTCCGGGCCTGTCAACACCTCAGTGTTGGACTTCTGGCCCCCAGAACTGTGAGGGAATGGATGTCTGCGGTTGCAGCCGCCAGCCTGTGGTCCTTCGTTATAGCCGCCCCAGGACACTGGCACGTCCCGCGCGGCACTGCTCTGTCCTTTTCCACACTAAAGGCCTGCACTGCTGCTCTCCCACGGCTAACCCCACCCACCGTTTTCAGAACTGCCGACGTGCCCTTCCCAGCCGCCCTATCGGTGCAAGGAGCCCGGTTCTTCATCGGCAGCCGGAGGCGGACCAAAGGCCTGTTCACGGTGAGTGTGGAGGGGCTGCCTGCCTGGCCTCCCCACGCAGTGTTCACAGAGGGGCTGTCACCACAGGCCTGCTGTCCCGATGCTCTGGCTGCACAGATTGTGTGTGTCAGACAGGAATGAGGAACAGGAGGCTCAGTGGAGTCCCACACACGCCAGGCACACCTGCCACAAGGCCTTTGCACTCCCTGTCCCCTCTTCCTGGCCCACCTGGCCCCTTTATTGCCACGGCTCACACCCTCCGCCCTCAGGGCCCTACCCCATGTCCTCTTACCATGGAGGCCTTTCCCACCACTCTGAAAAGATGACCCCGCACCCAGCCCTCCCAGATCCGACCCCTGGCTCTTCATCGTAGCCCTGACCACCTTCAGGCCAGCTGTGTGTTTGCTCATTGTCTCTCTTCCAGAGTGGAGATGGGGGAGCCTTGTTCCCTGTGTGTCCTTGTCTAGAACCATGCCTGATGTACAGCAGGTGCTCTGTGAATATTCACTGATGGCATGCTTGGATGGTTGGATGGCTGGATGGATGGATGGGTGGATGGATGGGTAGGTGGGTGGATGGATGGATGGATGATTGGATAGATGGATGGTTGGATGGATGGTATATGGATAGATAGATAAATGAATGGATGGGTGGATGGATGGATGGTTGGATGGATGGGTGAATAGACAAATGAATGGATGGTGTATGGATGGTGTATGGATGGTGTATGGATGGATGGCTGGATGGATAAATAGACAAATGAATGGATGGGTGTACGGATGGTGTATGGATGGTGTATGGATGGCTGGATGGATGGGTATATAGACAAATGAATGGATGGGTAGGCTGATGGATGGATGGATGGGTGAATAGACAAATGAATGGATGGGTGGATGGATGGTGTATGGATGGTGTATGGCTGGCTGGATGGATGGGTGAATAGATAAATGAATGGATGGGTAAATGGATGGGTAGATGAATGGATGGGTAGGTGATATATGTATAGATAGATAAATGAATGGATGGGTGTATGGATGGTGTATGGCTGGACGGCTGGATGGATAAATAGACAAATGAATGGATGGGTAGGTAGATGGTTGGATAGATAAGCCATGTTGGCCAGTAACTCTAGATTCGTCCACAGGAAAGTCCCTTTGTGGTTCAGTGACCTTAGAAGAGTGTCTAGTTCTCCACTGATGCACCCAATGCCCCCCCATAACTTATATGCAGACTCTTCCTTCCTAGCTCTAGAGTGGTTAGCCCCCACGGCATTTCCACCACCTCCCAGAGTCTGAACACACTGTCCCTCTCTCCGCAGGGCCTGGTCAGGCAGCTGGTCCTGCTGCCCGGC